TTGGGGTGCAGCCCCCTCGCTGACCCCCCACCACCGAGCACCCGCTCCTGCTTGCCGGGGGCCGGCGCGTTGGCTGCAGAGGGCAGGTAGAGGACAATGGGGATTGTTCTCCCAACAATGCCTCTCGCCCCACGCTGCACCCCCTCCCCGTCTGCCCTGATTAGCCTCCCCGGGCGCAGCCCCCTTATCTCCTGCTCAAATCCCCCCAGGAGTTTTCGGCGGGTTTGCTCTCCCCAGCTGACTCCTCATGATGCACAACGGGGCCGGAGCGCGGCGTGGAGAGGTGGAGGTTGGGGTGAGCCCTGCACCCCCCGAGCGGCTCGCTTCATCCTCCTCCCTCCGCTCTGGCATGGGGACGGTGCAGCACCGTGCCGCCCAGCCCAGGCCAGCTCCAGCCCTGCGGCGAGGCCGGGACACGCTGCCACGTCTCCCTACAGCCACCGCGGCACTGCCTGTGCGCAGCCCACCCCAAAACCAGTGCTCACCAGTGGGCTGCGTCCCAAGGCCCCAGCACTGCTACGTCAGGCGCGGAGCAGCCCGCCGCCCCGCCCTGCATACAAAGGCTCGGCCGGCGCCCGGCGGACCCCGCAGAGCCCCGTCCCCTCGGCCGGGGGCCGCAGCATCGCCCCCAGCCCACCGCGGGGGGTCCTGCACCGAAAGGGGGTCGAGGAGTCCGTCCGTCCAGCAGCACCTACGCTGCAGTATCAGAGTGTCAGAGCAATAATCATGTATATACGCACACATATACATGAACGTGCATTTTTAATACGTATTTTTAGGTATCTCTGCAGATGTAGATAACAAACTTAAAAATATCTCAGTACCACCCCTGAGATTCTTCCTAAACCCAGAGGGCAATTTCAGTGTTTTAACTTTTTCTTCAAGAAGAGCCTGTCCATAAACCCTCGGGCCAGAGGTGCTTCAGTTTATGCCTGGATCCTACACGTTGTTCCTCAGGGTACGTGCTGGTTCTGATTGTGGACCTGGTGCCAGTGGTTGTAATATTTTACTGTTGGGCGCATTGTGGGGCTCGGTGGGTACAGTGCACTGTTAGGAGCTTTTCCTGGTTTTATGGGGGGTAATTAGGACTTTATGACAGCAGCGAAATGGGAGGGTCCAGTCCCCATAAACAGGTTTATAATGGATATAAACTATGCACCTCTCTAACTTAGCAGGATTAACACTTTAGGGACAATTTGAGTGGCAGCCCAAAAATCAGAGCTGCCCTCGGCGCCGCCTGGACCTGCCTTTGGGAGGGTGAAAAGGTCCCGTCACCGACCCCGCTGCTTCCATCGCCGGCATGCAGCATCCCCGAGTCCAGCGTGACCCCAGAAGTGACACTTTGCCTCTCCCAGTCCCAGCCACAGCTGCATCCCCGCGGGCCGGGGCAGGGCCACGGCTGAATCCCTGCCTCTGCCGGAGTGATCGGGGACCAGGTGTAGAGGGACGGGTGTGTTTTGGGGATGGGCATCGCCGGTGATTTGTGGGGTGTTTGCAGAGCTCTGGGCAAAAGGGGCGAGCGGCGGGCGCTGCTGCCAGAGGAGGTCGGGATGTGCCACGTGTCGTGCAGGAAATACACTTAGAAGTACAGGTTTGTTGTTGGTTTTTTTTTTTAAAAAAAGTACAGTTTAATCATATCTGTATGATTTAAAGCAGAGGAGAGCCAAGCTGCTTCACTGCTTTTGCCTGACAAAGACACAAGACCGGTGCGCACCTAGAAAATGGTACAAGCCTGTGATGAAAACAGCAAAGAGATCAATTGCTGCCCTAAACCCCCCCCTATTGCCCTCCCCACCCCAAAATCTGCACTGGGAGGTTCTGGGGCTGGCTGGAGAGAGCGTGGGTGCACAGGACCCCCTGCGCCCTGGGGGTTGTGGGGTCTGGGGGCTGTCACGCCGCCCGTCCCCATCGGCTGAAACACAGGGTTAAGGCTCCGGGAGCCGGACCCCGCGGCTTGTCTGGAAACATGGGAAAGCAGTAAAACATTTCACGGGCTGTGCAGCTCAGGGGCCGCACAATAGCCAGGTCCCATAAACAGACTTTTATATTATGGCTGTAGCTCCAGTAAAAAAAAAAAAAAAGCATTAAAGAGGGCAGGCTCCACAGCCAGGCCGGTTCCTGGTGATCCCCATCCAGGCTCCTCTCCTGGGTGGCTGCAGGGAGAGGCCGTGGAGGAATAAATCTTTTTGCACGGGGGCTGCTTCCAGCTGCGGAGGCGCAGGAGAGCGGCGGGAGAACAGTCTCGTCAGGCTTCGGTGGCCGTCTGAGCCCCTGCTCATAAACCCCAGAGCACCGAGAGCCCCCGGCTCGCTCCGCGAGAAACCTTCGTATCCCCGTGCAAACCACGGAGCCGTCCTCGTGTATTCACCCCGGAGTCACGGCGGGGGGTCCCGTGGCAGGGGTCGGCGGTTGTGCCGCCAGGGGACGGCTGGTTCCCGGGGGTTGGCACCCCCTGTGATGGCAGAGCGTGCCCGGGAGGGTTTGCCCAGGGGAGGGTTTGCGGGGGAGGCCCGGGCACAGGTTCCCTGCCCTGCGGCAGCGCGCTGCGTCCCGGCGCCGTACTGGGGGCTGGGGAGGTGGCTGGGGAGGGGTAGCATCCACTTGGGCACAGCCTGGGAAAAAGCCTGAACGTGGCTGTTGCCCGGGTAGATGCTTTGGGCCAGGCTGGGCCGGAGCTCGCCGTGTTCGCTGGGAGCGGGACGCTGGGAGAAAAGGTACCCGCCGTCACCGGGGAGCTCTGCGGGTTACAGTAACGCCTTGTGCTGCTTCCCCAGTGTTAATGGTCTCGTCTGCCCAAATCCAACCCAACTCTGAGGGCATAGAAATAAATATAATATCCGCCCCGTTCTAGGAATGGGAAAAACCCAAGCCAGGATAGTTGGTGGCTTCCTAAAAGTCTGCACGGTAGTCATGGCAGAAGGTTTCACCTTGCCCAGCAAGTGGTTTCTGGGCAAACCCAGGTGCCCATGGGGTTTGGGGATGCAGGAGCCCCCCACCAGCGCTGCCACCGGCCCCAGAGCCCGACCTTGCGCTGCTTGGGAGAGTTAATCTTCATCAAGGTGCGGAGTCTTCTGCGATTTTATCTAGAGACCCAAAATCTCGGTCACCAGACTATCTGAAAATCTCAGCATTGGTTATTGTTTCCCAAACAATAAAAGGCTCGTCCTTGGGATTGCATGGAAAAGCTTGAAAATCAGCTTTTAACCTCTCATATGTCTTAAAGACAACTTCATGACTTTGGGTGTCTTGACTCATGGGTCACAAGCATCCTCAGTTGGGTATAGTGTGATTTGGGGCTTAAAACTGATTTTTTTTTTTCTCCTTACTGAAAGCTTCACTGAACCCAAAAGAGATTGAAGATTGAGCAGAAACTCTGATTTTCTTTCCAATAGGAGCCGCCTGTGCTCCTCGTCTATCTTTAAGATTGCGCTCAGAAGAAAGGGCTTTATTTTATCTCCCCTCCCATTGTTTAACCAGCGCTGCAGGATCTCAGAGCGGCAGCAGCGCACTCTTCGCGAGGCCGGGACCGCGGGGAAGAATGTGACAGTGCCCCGATTGAGTAATGTTTACCCTGTTCACGGCAGGGACGTCCACTCGGACCGGCAAATATCCACCTGCCAGAGGACATTCTTTTATTATCAGGGATAAAAGGGGTTTGCTGGGAAATGATCAGGAACCAGACATCGCGGGGAGATTCCTATCTGTGGGACGTGTTTAACCAGCTGATGGGGAAAATTCGGGTGGTGATTAAAGAGCGACTTTGCCGTGGTTCTGGTGGAGGGCGTGGGTAGTTGCCCGTGCTTTGGCTTTTGGAGCTCATGAAAAACTCCTGGACTCCAGTTATCACCATTTCTTTCCTTTTCCTTGATTCTGAGATTTTTAGAGTAGCCCTTAGAGCATCCTTTGCCGAGCCAGCCTGCATCAGCTCTTCCCCTCAGGCACCTGGGAGAAGGAGATCCCGAAATCCTGGGACAAAGATCCTTGACCTGGGCGGGTTTTGTAGCTGGGGGTGTCCGTGCAGTGCTGGGACAGCCGCGAAGCCACCAGCAACCTCCCCAGGCAGAACCTCTCCAACTGACGGTTGTTTCAGGGAGCCGCCCCCAGTAACGCCCCTGCGCAATGGCCGGGGGTCACGGGCGGATGATGCTCTTGGTGGTCTTGGTTGGGAGGGTGGGATTTTCCCCCGTGGTTTTCTTTCCCAGGAGAGCTGTGGGCTGTCTGTCTGTCCATCAAGCGCTTCCATCCCGGGGCAGTTCAGTGAACCCAGCCGGGAGCACGGTGCCGGACTCCTTGTAATAAATGGCTTTTCGTCGTAGTCGTCAAGGCAGCCTCGTAAAAGACGCTTTTGTTTCCCGTGGGTTTTCCTCGGTTAATTATTTGTGATCTGTAGATGCCTTTCCATGACACATGGCTGATCATATGGTTATCAGTGCAGGGCGTCTTAGCCAAATTAAATATATTTATATAGAAGACCTGCGCTCGAGCCAGATTTCCCTCCTCGGCGGTGGTGGGCTGTGGTCTGATTTGGAGGTTTGTGGTGTGTCTGGTCCCTCCGTCTTCCTGTGGTAATCTGTTAATCATCCACTTGTCGAGAGGGAACTCGGATGTGGAAAGGCCTGAGAAAAAAGTGAGAGGCGTCGCTGGTCAGAGCTGGGCAGCGCTGGGCGGGCCGGGGGCTGCGAGGAGCCGGGCGAGCCTTGCAGCGGGGAGAGCTGGAGGATGCAGAGCGGCTCCCCACAGCTCAGGGCCCCCAGGACAGCGTCTGACGGGTGCCAAATGCATAAATTAAAGCACAAGGGATGCAGATGGGTGTCCAGGCTGCTGGCCCGGGTTGGGCTCCCTGTCCAGCTCATGGTATCCGGGCCCATCGTGGGGCGCTCAGCACCCCTCACCATAAACTGCTCTTTGTAATTTCAGAAGATGGGGTCGGGGAGAAGCTGGGAAGCCGCACCGGAGGAAGGGGCGCGTTGTTCAGTGCCGTCCCTCCCGTTTGTCGTTCCAGGGTGTCATTTAGGAGCTTGCACATCTGTCTGCATCCTCATGCTGCGCACGCTGAGGAAGCCAGGGAGGGGTCGGGGAGATTTCCCCTTTGCAGGGCCACTTTCAGAGGGGGTTGGCACGGCCCGTGGGCAATGCCAGTGCCTGACAGTGGGTTTTTTTGCAGGGGTCCGGTACAGCCAGGCGGCGAGCGGCGAGGCAGCATCCTCCGGGGCCATCAGCCACCACGGCGGCGGTGCCATGGTCACCACCAGCCAGGCGGTCCTGCAGCAGGTCTCCCCGGCCGGCTTGGACCCGGGCCACGGTTTGCTCTC